GCGTCATTCACAACAGCCAGGAGGTGGGAGCAACTCACATGTCCATCAGCAAATGAATGGATGAGCAAACCGTGATATTGACATAACAGAATCGTAGTCAGCTTTACAAGGAATGCGTGCTCACTCGGGCTACACCAGGGAAGTACCTCGAGAACATTATGCTAAGTGAGATTAGCCAGGCACGAGAGGACAAATATGGAATTGATCGCATTGCACTGATTCCACTTGAAGAGGTACCTAGAGTCGTCAAACTCAGAAAGTAGGATGTTGGTTGCCAGGAACTGAGGGAAAGGGAATGAGGCACTTTTCAATGGGTATGCAATTTCAGGTGGGAAGATGAAAACAGTTTGGAGACAGATGGTGGTAAAAACTATGTGAATGTATTCAATGCTGCAGAATTGTACACTTACAATGGTTGAAATGGTATAACTTACCATTAAAAAAAGGAGCAAAAGACTAAGGGCCAGCCGCACGTGTCCAACCAAGACTTGAGTCCCAGCTCTTGCAAGCCAGGTGCATGTGCATGTGCATGCCTGCCCAGGATCCTGATGGGATGGAGGGATAGAGAAAAGAGAATTATGGCATGATGACACCCCGTCAAGGGAGTGCTCGCTCTCTCTGTCTCTCTGTCTCTCTGTCTCTCTCTCTAGTACATGCCTATGCCCTCTGACAATTATAAAACATGAATGAAAAGATATGTGTTTGGGTCAGCTAGGTGGCCAGGAGGTTAAGACAGCTGGATCCCACATAGCCAGCTGTGAAGTTTGAATCCTGGCCCCTGAGGCTTGAAAAACACACCAGGCACGTGCATGCTCGTGTGTGCCCAAAACCCCAAGAGGAGAATAGATTGCAGCTCAGCCATCCCCTCTGGGGTATTTCTCACTCCCCTCCCTAACCCCCAGCAAATGTGCATGCCCTGTAGCAATTTTTTTTTTTTCAAAAGAGAACAGAAGAGATGCCTGTTGAACGGTAGAATAGGTGGTCAAGACGCACAGGAATGGCAGGTGAGGCTAAGAGGGAAGATAAGGAAATGCGACCTTGACCTATAGTGACCCACAGGCTGTGCTCTGGGAGTGCGGCCAACCCAAGCCCCGATCTGGAGTTTGCTCTGGAGCCTGGACTCCCAGCACCACTCAGATCAGTGACCGGGAAGTCTCACACTGGGAGAGCCCAGTCCCAACTGTTTAAAATGCCTGGGTCACAGCATCCCCTGGGGACATGCAGGCTGAGGCGTGGCCCCTCTTGCATAGCCGAGGGAGTGCAGGCAGGGGACTGAGGCCATCAGGGCCTGCTCCGTACCAGGCTCTGGGGCTCTAGGGCTGTCGTGTTAACATCCTCCCAGTCTCCACGGGGTGGTGGCTGTTGCTGCTTCACCAGAGATGTGCACGTTCAGCTGCCATCGGCCAAAACTGGGCTGGCCGTGGACTGCTGGCCCGGTGTGGGCCCTCCTGTCCCCCAGGCCCACCACAGGGCTCCTAGTGTTGACTACAGAGGTCCCTGAGAGAATGGGACTGTGACAGGAGCTGGCACAGACACTGTCTAAGGAAGGTGTTTTTTTATGAATTATTTTGAGATTTTACTTATTATTATTATTTATTTTGATCAGAGAGTGAGAGCGAGGGGAAGGGAGATATCGAGGTCCAGGGCTCAAACTGCGGTCAGCCGTGTGAGAGTCCAATGCCTTACCCACCACGCCACCTGCCATCCGCTCAAGGGAGGTGTTAAGATGGACCAAGTCTGACTCGAGGAGATGAGGGAAGGGGATTGGACTGGCGTGGACACAGACCCCAGCGCGGGGCCAGGCTGCAGTGGGAGGGCAGTACAGGCCTGAGGCAGGAGCCAGAGCCCAGGGCGAGGTTCCTGGAGTTACTGCAAACTGTCTCGCAGAGGTCCCTTCCCAGCCTTCGGAAACTGCAGGTCCAGGAGTCAGAGGCCAGGATGGGAGCCTAGGAGGAGTATGGCTGCGTGTGTCTTTAGTGTCACCGTGTGCGTGTCCTGGTGTGTTGGTAACTGTATACACAGCGTGTGCGTGTCGGGCACCTCTGAGGTCTGCCTGGCTAGGCTCTCATTCCCTCACAGAGCCCAGCCCCACGTGTCTAAGTGAAGTGGGTACGTGTGGAGTGAGTCTCCTCCCCCATTCGTGCATTTCATCTCTGCGTACATCGTGTGTGTGTGTGTGCGCATGTGTACACAGGTCACTCTGTTTTCCCTTTCCTATTTTCTAGGATAATGACTCGCAAACACAGCCTGAGCCCAGACCCAGGACCTTCCTCTGTCCAAGGTTTGGTTTGTAATGCAGACCTAACAGCTAGTTGGGAAATCATTGGTTCGTAATTGGACCCGCATGGGAGGTTCCTAGGTTTGGGGCCCAGAGCCTCCCTGCTCACACTGAGTGCACTCGGGCCTCCGAGTGCACTCGGAGCTGGACTGGCAGAGGCGGGGGAAGGTCATGGCCTGAAGACCCCATTAGGCGTGCCTGCTCCCCCATCTTTGAATAAATAAATACTTTTTTTAAAAACCCACATGTGTATGAGTAGCAACCAAAGAGGACACACTGCTGTAAAAAGAGTTCTATAAAGACGGCGAGACCGTACGCCTTTAAATTGTTTTTACTATATCGGTGTGCTATTTTTACATTAAAAATCGTAGAGGGCCAAGTCCGTGGTGCAGTAGCAAGTGCTGCTCAGGAGACGTGAGAGTGCCCGAGCCCTGAGGGCTGGATGGTGGGGGAGAGGGGTCGGGGCGCACCAAACCTTGTGGAGATGCTTGGTAACTTCTCTCTCTCTCATGTATGAATGCCCACGTTATCTCATGAATAAAAGGGAAACAAATGTTTTAGACGTACACACCTAAATTAATGAAAAGCAAGCGCTTGAACAGATATTTGTACGACTGTGTTCATAGCTGCGTTATTCCCAGTAACCAGAAGGTGGAAGCAACCAAAGTGTGGTTAAGTGCAACAAAATGTGGCTTAAGTATATCAGGGAACATCACTCAGCCTTAGAAGGGAATGGAATCCTGTCATATGCTACCACGTGGATGAACCTGCAAAGCACTGTAAGTGAAAAACGTCCGTCACGCAAAGACAGATGTCTGATTCCGCCTGTAGAAGATACCGCAAAGGCTCCCACTCCGAGAGACAGAAAGCAGGGTGGTGGTTCTAGGGCCTGGAGGAGAGGGGAAGGGGAATTAGTGTTTCCTGGGTACAAAGTTTCAGTCTGGCAAGATGAAAAGAGTTCTAGAGATACAGTGTGGCCACAGGAGCAGAACAAGGGACCGTGTGTAATGTCCCCCAGCTGAATGTCCAAAATGGTTTTGGAGATGTTCCTACAGCCTAGTGGTCAAGGGAGTCAGATCACATATGGCCGTGTGGCTCGGGTCCTGACCCTGTGAATTGAAAAACATAAGGAGCATGTGTGTGCAGGTGCCCCAAATCCCCACAGGATGTTGGGACTATACCCCTCTGGAGGGTGCTTTCTCTCTCTTTTTCTCACTCTTACTCTTTTTCTGACTGGCTAATGCACACACACTCATTGGAAATTTTTAAAAATGTAATGATTTAGATGGTAAGTTTTGTTGTGTGTACTAGACCATGATTTTAAAATAATACATTCCAAAAAAATGAATAATTATACTTCATAACAGTTAAAAATCAATAAAAATAGATTTTATAGGGGACCAGCAGTTAGCGTAATGGCTATGACACTGGACTCCTACGTAGTCGACTGCAGTTCGCGTCCCGGACCCGGTGGCTTAAAATTCACGCCAGGCGCGTGTGCGTGCATGCCCAAGATCCCGAGAGGAGAATGGAGGAGAAGGGATTGTGGCGTGGCCATCCCCCCTGGGGGGTGATTTCTCGCTTTCTGTCTCTCTGTCTCTCTCTGTCTGTCTGGTGAGCGCACGCGCCCTATAGCAAAAGCCTTTCCAAAAAAAATAGATTTTATACTACAAAATGATCTCTCTTTGTCTGTCTGGTGAGCACACGCGCCCTATAGCAAAAGCCTCTCCAAAAAAAAAAAAATTTTATATTACAAAATGTATATGTTTTGAAATGTCACATTATACCAAATAAATACGTACAATGGTGTCTCAATTAAAAATAAAACCAAAATTAATAAAAAATTTTAAATTTGCAAAAGATGTGTGTGTTCATCAGTGAGCGGGAGAATGAGTAGGGCCCCCCCACGAGGCACACCCACGCTGCGATCCCTCCTCCAGCACTCCAGCACTTCCCCCTTCTTTCAGGATTTGGGCGTACACCCACGCTGCGATCCCTCCTCCAGCACTTCTCCCTTCTGTCAGGATTTGGGCATGTGCACACCTGACGTGTTTTTCAAGCTGTGGAGTCTTGAACTCAAATTGCACAGTTAGCTGTGTAGGATCCAGCTGCCTTAACCACCAGGCCGTGGACTGGCCCCAGTAATACTATTTTAAATTAAAAAAATAAAAAGGAAATCAAGATTCAACAGAGGACTCTGTCCTCCTCCCCCCCACACACCCAAAAAATAGATTTGAAAGAAAGAAAGTAATGGGTAAAAGCAGGGTCTGGCCCCTCCAGTGTACGGACCGCAGAGAATGGGGCCGCGGCGTGAGAGTGAGTTGCGGACCTGAGGGGGCCGGTGGTGCTTCTGCCTAGTCCGGCAGTAGGACGTGACAGGAGAAAGACAGTCCGTCCTCTCAGGACAGGCACAGGACACCAGAATACCCGCACTTTCACATCTCTCGGTCCCCTGGGAGGGCCACCTGTCCCTAACGCAGACTTCTAGGGACTAGAATGAAAGCTAGGAGAACACGACAAAGCCGTCCTCCTCCAAAGTGATTTGACTCACCCAAAAGGAGGGACGCTAGCTTGAAGATAAACAAATCGGTTCTTTTTATTTTTTTTTAAGAATTATTTATTTAATTTTATTTATTCATTCACTTATTTTAATTTGGCCAGAGAGACAGAGACAAAATGAAAAAGCAGGCCACCATAGTCAGCCGTGTGGAAGTGTCCCGCACTTTAACCACCACGCCACCTGCTGGTCCTCAACAAATGGGTTCTTGTAGTTCTAAAAGTAAGACGTTTTCACTGCAGGGAAACTTCTCGAAATGTTGCAGTGGCATCCAGGACAGCAGTTGTCCTCGACAGAAAGAAGCAAGGACCTGAGCGAGGTTACGGCCCGGGGGTCCTGGAAACATGGAGCCGGTGGAAAAAAACAGTCACGACAGATACAGGTGTATGCTTTTACTTCTGTGAAACGTCCAGAACAGGCCGCCCTTCAGAGACAGAAAGGGACAAACAGTGGCACAAAGCCAGGGAGGGGTTGGAGGGGGAGTGACTTCTCATGGGTGCTGGGTTTCTGGGGAGTCACTTCTCATGGGTACTGAGTTTCTTCCTGACATGATGAAAATGTTCTAGAATTTGCCGCAGTGACGGTTGCACTATTCCGAACACGCTAAACACAGCTGAATTTTAAGTGGGTGAATTAGAGGATATGTGGAGTATATCTCAACAAAGATTTCTTTTTTAATTATCTAAAGGCTAGCACCACATTGAGATCGCATGAATACCAGGACTTTTTTTTCCCTT